CAGGTCTATAATTGTTTGTTTTAGCACATTTACCTTTTTTAAATATTGGCACAACGTTATATTTCTTTCAGTCTTCTGGAACTTTTCTGGTATTCCAAGACTTTGAAAATAAACATTAACTATCAGCAAATTCCTTAGCCAGTTCCTCCACATTTCGGTACTATAATTAGATCGAATTTATGCTCATTCCAGTTTCTCTTGTTTGCTACCCAGGCTTCTAGCATTGGTGTATAGGCAATAAAAGGATTCTTTCTCTTCATGTCTTTTGGTTCCTTGATTAATTTTGTGCCCCACATCTTGATTTTGTGCTCATATCTTCCCATATCTTCTGGTGCCTGCACCATAATTTTTGTCCCCAAAAATTGTTTTTCATGTGAAACAATCTGTTCATTTGGCCCCTTTGTGCCAAGTCCTTCCATAACTAGGAAAATCCATTGCATGCTCTGAATGAGATAAGGTCATTCAGATTCTGTTTATGGAAATTAAACCTTGAATAAAATCAAATATAATTTCAGCATTTTTTAATCTCATCTGAGAGAGGCTCAGTATCCACTACTGCAATCTGGATAAATTTGCTAGTAGGTCAGGCCTACAGATGCCCACTATGTGAGGCCTGACCTAATTAGGCACATCACTCCAGAACAGTACAGTGGCCTCACGCATGGTAGTTTTGCCATCCGGCTGCCTGACCTTATCTGACACTTTAGAATACATGTTTTAAGTTTCCCTCCCATTTATAGCGATTGTTTTTACTGCTGGCTACCTGCAGCTTATAATAGCTCAGAGAGCACCAGGTTCCCACAAGAGAGAACGGTAAAACGTATGATCTCGCTGCAGTTTTTCCTTCTCTGAAGTGAGCATATGATGCTCAATGACACGCCACCCAAGATGTCACTAAATTTTATATATGATCCCCGCTGGAGGGGAAAAATCTCAGTCCTTTCTTTTTGCCTTACAAAGCGTTCCTACTGAGAGACAGCGAAATCTTAGGATTCCCTCATCTGATTTTGCCCAAAGTCTTCATTTCCATTTTGTGTATAATAGTGAATGAGCCACTAAAGCAGCCTGCCTGAAGATGGTTAATCTGTCCGATTTATTAATCAGACTTTACAGTGTGTCATTTTCACTTGTGCAGCTGGCTGGGAGATAGAGAGGCACTCCATTTTCAGAACAGGTCTACCTGCTGGCGGAATATTGTGAGCTAGAGAGAGAGGTTTTAAAACAGAGAAAGGAACTCTATGCCTCCATGTAAGCTGACTGTGTTGGAACACAGAGAGCCAGTGTCCACGTCAGAGAGGGAAACGTATGCCTGGGTAAGTAGATGTCACCCTTCAGGATCAGGGAACATGTCAGAGGTTCTAGTCCCCCTTTGCCCTTGAGCCCTTCTGTTGCATTGCTCTGGTGTGAGTGTTTGATTGATCTTCAGTTCCAGGCCAAGGTGGCCCAAGATGGCTTTGTAGATGCCCTGCAAAGAGCTGCACTGATTTGTCCTTCAGTTTAACATGTTCGTTGTTTTTAATTTGTTGGAGTTTGCAGCTGCTTCCACTAGTCAGTGTTCAGTGCAGCTAAATCCTTTTTCTTGTATGTTTGGGTTGGATGAAGCCTCTTCTGCCTTTGATTCCATTTCTGGGTTGTAATCTCTTCAGTGCTGGGCATTGTCTGCGCCACACACTGTAGCTGAACTCTGCTGGTGCTGTAGTGGAGTGTTTTGGGAGTTCGAATCATGTCTGCCCTCAGAGCATCTATACTAGCACATCACTGGAGCGCTTTGGAGAGCTTTCGCACAGGGGACTAATCCGGATGGTACGGGGAAAATATTAACGTGACACTCTACCTAAATTGTTGCTCTAAAGAGCAGTTTTTCCTGCCACTTGTTGGCCAGATACCAAGAGCCCAGGATTATAGCTAGATGGTGAAGTGTAAGACATAGAATTGAATTGGGTGTTTACTTAGGGCACATCTAGACTACAAGCCTCTTTCAAAAGAGATCGTCTAGACAGCCACAAGAGTTTTTCGAAAGAGAGCACTGAGGCAATCTGGATGCTCTCTTTCGAAAAAGCCCTGTTTGCGTTCAAGAATGCCTTTTTTCAAAAGAGCTCTTTCAAAAAAAGGCATTCTTCCTGGTAAAAGTAGGCTTACCAATTTCGAAAAAACCGCCGCATTCTTTCAATTTAATTTCAAAAGAATGCGACAGCAGTCTAGCTGCAGATGAAGTTTTTTTTGAAAAAAGGCCACTTTTTTTCGAAAAAACTGCGTAGTCTAGACACACTCTTACACGCCGTTCTAAATGGCATGCTCTGGCCATTGAATCACAAATGTGTAGGACTCGAAAGAACCTCCACTGGCCATCTAGTCCAGTCCCTTGCAGTCAAACTAGGACTGTGATATAACCAGCCAGGTCTTTGTCTAATTTGTTCATAAAAAGCTCCAGCTATGGAGATTCCACAGTCTCCTGGAGGCCATTTGTTCCAGGGCTAAACCGCCCCGAGAGGAAGATTTTCTCAATGTCCAACCTAAACCGCCCTTGTTGCAATTTAAGGCCATAGCTTTTTGTCCTATCCTCTGAAGTTAATAAGAACAATTTTTCTATCTCCTTTGGCTAAACGGGATCATCCCTTTCTGGCCAGGCCCACTCATAGCCTGGACTGATGCTGGATGCAACGTTTGCATCTCCCTCCATTGGAATCACCTGTCTTCAGCCTCTAGCACTTTTGTATGGAACCTCTTCCTAGTCCCTCCATCAGATCTTCCTTTGGACTCCCCGAAGGTGCATTGGTTGAGGATATCATGTGTCTTCCTGGGTTTCTTGTTATTCTTTGGTCTGTTTGAAAGAGTTTTTGATGGATTGTGCAGGGGAACAAGGAGAGGCCAGTAGTAGATGACTAGCAAGAACACTCTGTATCTGGGGAGAATCCAGGGAAGGTGTTAAAATCAAGAAGGGAAGCCTGCAAGGAACTCTGTGCTCTGATGTGGGATGGCACAGCTGAACTGCTGTCTAGTTGTGGGAGGGCTGATCACAACATTGTGTGTGAGCTGGAGCCAGGAGAAACAGGAGGACCGTTGAGAAGGGCGTTCTCCTATTTTAGTAATGGGGGCTATGGGTGAGGGTTAAGCACATGTGGCATAGAGGCAGCATTGTTAAAGGAAGATGTGCGCAGAGGAGGTGACTTTGCGTGGAGGGTGATGCCAAGCTTTCCAGCTGGAGAAGAACTAATTCCTGAGCCCCAGCTGTTCATCTGCTTGTAGAGTGTCCTCTTGGAGACAAGCTGCGGCCGGGCAGTGTTTACAGGAGTAGCTGTCTGGCCTGGGAGCATCCCAGAGAAAGAGCCCACTGCATTCAGTGTTCTTGAAGAGGGCTGGGCTCACCACCCTGGCTGCTAATGTCCTCGATCAGCACCACAGCTAAAAGCAAAAGCAGCAGTTCTGCAAGCTTCTTCATGCCCCAGCCCACCCAACAGTCTAAAGGGAGATGTTAGATGCTCTCAGCCCTTCACATCTTTGCAGGGAGAGCCTGCAGAATATGGACAGTTGTAACCATGTATTTAATGAAACATAGAACAGTCTCACCAAACTCATTTCACGTATACCACTGAACTGCTGAGAGGTAGATTTGAACCAGTGACCTAGACATGAACATTTCTGTAGCTTCTTTGTTAATGGCCTGAGCCATACACTCGCTGGGCCTGCGATTGCTGTATCCCACCCATTTGGCTGCACTGGAGGGGAGATGGATGAAGTAATTCCTGTGTATGCTGTGCAACTAGCATGCCAATTTTCTAGAGTACTTAGGATCCATTGGGAAAGAAGGGAATTATTGTTCTAGGCAAAAATGTAAGTTACTAGAACATTAAGGCTGCGTGGTGAAGCACTCAGAATACCAGGAAATGTCAAAGGTAAGAACAATTATGCAACAGCTACTCTTCCCCCAGGAGTGCATCATTGCGAGACACGTGCAATGACATGATCACATGTTATTTCTCAAATACTGCAGTGCAAGAGCCTGACCCTACAGCCATGTGTAGCACTTAGTAATGAGGAGTCTGACTGACCTCCGTGGTTCTACTCTCAGTAGTGTTGGCAAGATGATGCGCCAGTGCTGTGGTGTCCAACCACTATAGTGCCTACAGCTACAGCAAACTAGCCACACTTAACTGGCCAAATGGCCATATTGTTCAAGCCAAATAGCCTCACTCAACCAGCCAGATAGCCACATGTGGCTAGCGTGTTGGATACCACGGCCCTAGTGTGGCGGTTTTTCCACAAGTTTTGGCATGAATCAGTTCCCTCCTTTTTCCCTGTCTCATGCTGGAAAACAGTTGAGTGGTTTTCGCTGAAGCTTTCAAGAAACAAAAATCTTCTTCAGGCAGAAACTGACCATGGAAGGCTTTTATCCTGAAACACAAGTTTTGGAAAGCTATAATAGAATGCAAACCATTATGTGTCTGTAACAGCAGAGGCCACTAGCAGCCAAGAAATGCAAAGCTGTCTGTTCTTTTAGCCTGCCTTGCATGTGCAGTATAAGCCACAGTGTGAAAATACTAACTTGTCTCAGACATTGTGAGCACACTGTGGGGGATTCTCTTCATTTCTTTCCTTTAGAGAATTTAAATAGAATACATTTCAAAACATGTCTCAGCATCAGTGGGAACTGTGGCTAACTCACCACTATGTGACTTTGATCATGAAACCCTGAATATTATTTTGCTCTGGGTTTTAAAGAGAATAAAGCAAATCTTCAATTGTCTTCTGCTGCCTAATGAGCTCCACCTGATAATGCTGAGATTTGGAGTAACATTTGAATAGAGATTTCATCATTTGAATTAACTTGCACTAGGTGTTTATTAATTGCAATATTTTCTCATTTAAAAACATGGCCTCATTTTCACGTCTGTGAGACCCTGTGCTCCACCCCGAGACTGGGTTTTTCTCTTACACTGGCAGCTGCTGATGTGGAAGTAGCATATTAGTGTTAAAGTCTCTGCCACTCCTTACTTTTTCAGAGAATTCGGTCAACGGTGGATGAAAAGGAACAGAAGCAGCTTCTAATGGACTTGGATGTAGTGATGCGAAGTAGTGACTGCCCTTATATTGTTCAGTTTTATGGAGCACTCTTCAGAGAGGTGGGCAATCTGAGTTTGTTTCATTTATACCAGAGGTTTTTATTTTAATTTAAAATTCTGTTTGTAGCAGCCTTCAGTGTACTGTAACAGGAAGGAGTTAATTTCCTGTGGGATTTTTGGGGTGCAAGTTGAAATCCTTCCCAGGCAAAGCCCGGTCCAGCCTCCGAAGCCGCGAGCAGAGTCTGCAACTGCCCCTTTGTCCAAGCTGTATGCCTCAGACAACACCCTGATTTAGTAGGATGTAGCCATCCTTAAGGAAAGGTCAAAGGGACTCTTACTATTTTGAACTCTCTATAGAAATCCTCGTGGGTGGTGCCCATTCCACGGGCTCAGCCTTATATCCAAGCTAACACTTGCGGATACCAGATTTTAGTGCTGAAAGCTGATTTGCCTGCCACTGGGTCTCCAGTGTGAGGCTGATATTTGTCTGCTGATGAACACACAAGTCCAGAGGGTAGACTTCATCAGGACCATCCTCAACTACAGGCCAGCGAGACTCTCCCAGAAGCACAGTTCCACGCAATAATGATGCTTGTAGAGAGCCTCAGGAATCACCCATCACCATGGCAAGAAATTGCTTATAGCTCCTAGGCCATCGTATCTCATGTGGTTTAGCATGTGAGACTTCGGCTCAAACTTCTTCAGGTGTGACTGGCATCAGTCTCCGCACCAAGCTGACGCCATCTAGACACACATTGTAGTCCCCCCACTCGGTGATTATTTCCCTCAGTTAATGGTTAGACCCATTAGCAGTATGTTCAGGATTCCCTTTCTTAAGGCCCCAATCCTCAGCGTCTCTCGTGACAGCTGCATCAGCAATGGGGTGGGGAGCTTGCTTTGAGTCCCTCGGTACCTCTGGTCTCCGGAAGAGCTCTTGCTATGCATCAGCATCAGAGCGCTCAGGGCAGTTTAGCTGGCTTACAAGGCATTCTGACTAAGGATGTTAAATATTGGTTAATTTACTAGTCAAGTAGTTGATGGAATTTCCATTGACTAGTCAATAGGCACTTCCACATTCTAGCTTTGAAATGTACAAGAGCCCCCGCTGGGAATGCGGAACTCTGTGTGCAGCCCGTGGCCAATGGGAAGTCCCGCTGATTCCGGGTTGCATGCGGGTACTAGCTTTGAAATGTACAAGAGTCCCCAGCGGGGGGTCTTGTGCATTTGAAAGCGGATGTGCCGTCATAGAGCTTGGGGTCAGCGGGGGACTCAGAGTCCCCCACTGACTGCGGGCTCCATGTTGTGCTGCCGATTTGAAATGCCAAGGCAGCATTCAAAGAGGCAGCATCACACACCCTGAGCTGGGGATCAGCTGTGCGGCACTGCCCCTTTGAGTGCCGCCTTGACGTTTCAAAGCAGCAGCACCACACAGCTAATTCCTGGCTCAGCTGTGTGGCCACTGCCGCTTTGAAGTACCCCTTTTCCCCCCCTTTGCCGCCTCTATCAGATAGTCTTTAACATCCTTACGTCTGACCTCATGTGGCTGGCTAATGTGTGTCAGTTCTCACAGACCATACAATAATAATGTTTTATATCAATAAACAGGGGGAGCACGCTCCTCTCCCCTTTGCCAGGAAGTACTTTGCTTGTGGGAATTCTGCATAGCCCACTCCATCCAGCTCAAGGCTTTCTGTCTGCCAGGTTCTCAGAATGAGTTCTCAGATCACCGCAGCAGAGTCTTCTCCATCTACCACAAGTACACTGTCGACCCACATGTTTCAGAGTGATCTTCCTGAAGTGGGGAACTCCCCAAAGAGATCTGTTGGCAACGAAGCGCTGCAGGAACTTCTCAATTTCTCCTCTCTCCTGGGCCACAGTCCAGGATCTCTCACAGGACTCTTCTCCTGCCTTGTATGGCTCATCGCTTCTGCCCATTCCTCTTGTACACAAGGTTTTGCTGAAGCTCAGTAGCTTCAAAATCCCCCCAGGACTCCTGGCATTTATCTCTAGGGGAACATGGCCCCAGCTCTGTGAAATGGGAGCGATGGGGTTGTAACACATTGGAGATTTCTTTCTTCTGGAGAAAAAACAATGAGTTTTCAATTACTTAAAGTAAAATTCTAGACTTCTCTTACACACCTCCCCATGTGTTAGCAAGTAAGAGCTTTTCAGAAGGCTAATCAAGAAACATTTATCACTGAGCTGAGACAACTTCTTTGGAGCACATTGGTTGGGTTGTAATTGACTTACATCAAAAGTCTGGCCTTCATTCATAGCCACACACTATCAAGACTGAACTCTGAACTGCCAGGCATGGTCCCAAGGTCTGAAAACTGATGATCAGCATATACATGGCAGAACCCGTTGGAAATGAGAGTGCACAACACTTACAAGCATAGACTCAACCACCCACCTTTTCATTCTGCACTTGGTGCAACCCACCATATGAACTGCGCTTCCGAAAGTTTGTCTTGTCAGTACCCTCTCTCTGCCCCTGCTCTGGACAAGGTTCAGCCAGAAGAAAAAACTCCAGTCTAGTTGTCAGAACTCTTGACCCATCTGAGGTTTTAGGTCTGCAAAGGTTTAAGTTCAAGAATACAATGCTTAGTAAAATGCTGCAGCCTCATCGTCTTTGTTTCATCAAAGCCTGTTTCTCGGGTAGCCGTTGCAGCCACATCTGTGTAGCACAGTTCAGGTTACATTGTGCCGTTAAAGCTATCCCCCTCTCTTCACTGACAGCACTGTACCTGGGCAGGGGCACTGTGTGCAAGGCAGGGATATTCATCTTTCATGGAGGATTGCTTCAGTTCCTAGTTTGAAGGTTTATCTGGGGTCCTGTGTAGTGTGTAATTTGTTTTGTAGCCATTACATCTTTTAAATAAAATGATGCAAATCGGGGAAAGTGACTCAGCTATGGGTGCTAGGAGCCAACTCCATGTCCAGTGACTTGGATCTTACACAGAGGAAGAAGAGGTGCCTCTTCCCTCTGGTCTTCTCTTTTTCCTGGTAGGGCAAGGTTGACATAAACTGAAGGGAAATGCCCATACTTCCACTGGACATATTCAAATGTGCACCCAAGACTCTTTACAAGACTTTAGCCCTCTTGTGGGCAAGACTGTTGGAGCACAATAAATGCTGCCAGTTCATGGCCCTGATCAGATTCTCAAGGACTCTCCATTCTATTGATTATGTATTATTTTACCATGATATCTGTTTCTCTTTTTTAGGGTGATTGTTGGATCTGTATGGAGCTCATGTCTACCTCGTTCGATAAGTTTTACAAATATGTATATAGTGTATTAGATGATGTTATTCCAGAAGAAATCTTAGGCAAAATCACTTTAGCTGTAAGTATTTAGATTTGTTTGCTTCCTTTTTGCACATTCTTGAAGATCATTTTAAAAGTTTATGCTTTTGACCTTTTAGCTCTGTTCCCTCTGGTTCTGTAGAATCTTTACGGTTTGTGTTTTATCATTTCTTTATTACTATGTTAACCTTTATTTCTCAGCCAAGATGCAGTCAGCAGCCCTGAAGGGGCAGGCCTCAGTGAATAAAGACACCCAGAAGCTTTTGCCTGAAAATCATACTGAATCCAAAGGCCCTTTTTTGTGCTGGTTAATTGACCCTCCAGTAACCCTCCCCTTAGATTGTCATGTTAATCGATGGTACTAGCCTGGGCTGGTTCATTGCTTGACAGTAGGCTCCCATTCCAGACAGGACCAATGGAGAGCCAAACTCTTCTGGTTTGTCTTCTTTTCATGCTGCTCCCAAGTTTTCCAGTGCATCTGAAATTCATGAAAATGGTACTTTGGCGGAAAAATCATGGAAGAGCACACGTTTTTGAAGTGCTTTTTTCCCTATATTTTCATAAAGAAATGTGATGGGTTTTGAATCTGTAATGAAATACAAAATGTCCACATTTCAGGCATTTTGTGTTTTCTTCTGATTGTTTCTGTCACTTATACTGGCCACTCAGACGTGGGAAAAATCTGGTCTTGGAGAGTTTTGATCAGCCAGTTTCAGAGCACATAGGAGTTCTGCTCTTGATTGCATTCTCCATGTCTGTAAACATCAGAGTGAACAGGTACTGCCAAAATGAAAGGGAGGTCCAGTGCTTGGCACGATGGGGTGCGTTGCATGCAATATTGGGGCTGACACTGGGTCTCCAGCCTTTTCTGACTTCTGTGACTGTCTCTGCAAATTCTCAGAAATAAATTGGGCTTTTGGAGTGGTGTATGACATCTGTATGTTTAAGGCAAGAGAGCTCAGGAGCCTCTAGTCCCCAGAGCCAGCATGCCAGTAGCCTTTAGAGGGATGGCCCAACTGAGTGGACAACAGAGACTCCATTTCACCAAAGTGTTACTCTTTATGCTAATTATAAGCTAGAGGAGGTACTTTCTGAGGATTAATGCCCATCACTTGGTTTATGGGCACAGTGGGGCATGCTGGCTGCATGGAGGAGCTGGCAATTTCTGAACCTTCCTTTGGTTCCAGAACTATGGAGGCTTCATTTGAATGGAATCAAGAGGTCAGCGAACCTCAGCCAGTTACACTAGTGGGTTTTTCAAACAGCCTTCCACAGTAGAGGCATTGGACAGTGTCATAAACAAAAACAGCCCTTCCCAAGTCCTGCTCCGCACACACAAGTCCTGGTACTGGACTTGCAGAGCAGTGGGATAGTGGCTGAAGGAGAACCCTATGTATATGTATCATCATACCGTTAGGGGCTTGGATGCTGCTCATTAAGACCCTAGGTAACAGGAGCTGCATGCATGAAATACCAAAGCAGTCTGACCCTAGAGACCTGCACTGATACAAATTTTGTATCTCCATCCGATCCACCACCCACAAACCTGGTCCATGGTTACTTGCAGATTTGCAGGGCTCTACTGACCTCTCCTTTGGAAATATTGGAGTAGGTTCTTCGTTAGCCATACTGAGAGAAATCGCTTGGCAGTCAGACTGCTAACCTGTCCATGGGATCCACACTTAGGAAAAGTCTTGTGTAGATGCAAAGGAAGGGGATTGGAGTTCAGAAAAGGGATGTGATCAAAGTGACACCAGTAACACCAGAGGTTTATAAGTAAAGTGCTTATTCCACTACTCTCGGAGTCTTCCTCTCTAGCAAGGGAGAGCGGCACATACAAAGTTCACCATACCTCCTCTAGCCTAGAATTACAGCTTGAGGTTACATCTGTTGGGTGTGCTTAGTTTTGATTTGGTTTAGATTGGTTTTCTGTGGACACACTGAACTGCCCCCTTTGGCTCTCGTCCCTCACTAGCCCCACAGCCTAAGATGAGGAAGATATTTCTAACAATGGTCTGAGTGGTGGGTTGTTCTCTCTGTAAGAGCATAACTGATAGGTTGACAGAGGGGTCTGGGGACAGGTTGTCTAAGCACCCCATGTTAGCTCTTAGCCATGGTATCCTGCTTTCTTCCTGCAGAACACAGTCCTCCACTAGTCTTTTCAAAGCATCAGTGAGTTGCAAAGACGTCAATGCCTAAGGAGACCAGCTGACAAAAGTCACCCCTCCTGGGACATTATGATTGTTTCTGGAAAATGTACTTCTAGGATTTGTCTAAGAATAGCTTCTGATTGACTCAGCCAAAAGCCGTGGCTTGCCCAAGGCCGATTGTTGTGGAATTACTGGCTGACTGCTGGCAGCTGCCAGGATAAGAGCTTTTCTTCTCGCTCTGCCTCTTGGTCAGTGACTCAGGCTTTCTTCCTTTCCTGTTTTTTTAAAACTTTTTTGCGGATTCTGTGAGTTTATTTTCTTTTTGTTTTTGTAACAAGCTGAAACGCTTCTGCTTTTCTCAGCTGTTCTACAGCCTCTTCCTTTGTGCCATCTTAAAACCTACCACACTTTGTTTTCTCTAAAACCACATTCTCTGTTACTAATATGTAATATTTAAAATAGTTCTTTTTATACTATGCTTCTAAACAAGCCCATACAATTATTTTTTTTGGTAAATTCATGTTCCATGTCTAATATTTAATACCTTAATTTAAAAAATGCATACAAATATGCAAAAGATCTGCTAACATATTTGCCTTCACACTTTATACTTCTGTTTACTAAACTTTATATAATGTGTAAAAAAAAACCCGTTTTTCTTAACATCTTTAAAATAGTTGTAAATGTGAAAAAGCTCAGATACAAGCAGTCGTAATGCTCCCATAAAAATTCAAAATGACCACTATTCCAAAAGTCTGCATGTCCAGAAAGGAGGTAGGAGAGTGGACATACACCAAAAAGGGGTGCGGAAATCTGTCAAAATAGGCTGATGACCAGTATAGAAGTCTTATATTGTTTCCTTTCAGACACTCAGGGTTCCTTACTATTGTTCTGGTTCATGTTGCTCAGAGAGTTTAATAAGCACAGGAATGTGACTACAGTAACTCGCTCTTCATCCACAAAATCTCTTTTTTCCTAGACTGTGAAAGCACTAAACCACTTAAAAGAAAACTTGAAAATCATTCATAGAGGTAAGTTTGTAGGTTTAATTTTTGCAAAGAAATGTTCAATTATTTTTCCTCTTAAGTACAAGAATTAATTTAGCTGAATTTCATGGTTAGTCCCTATTTACAGTAAAATTATACTTGTGGATCATTAAAATTAGTTTCATGACTATATAAATACTTTACATTCATAGTATTTTGTTTTTGATGGTTTCAGTCATTTTTCCATTTTCCCTTAATATGTGAAGTGTGTAAATGCAGGTAGTGAGAACATACGTCTGTACAGAGCACCTTGCATCTCAAAGTGTTTTACAAATTATATTATACTAATCTTCTAAACTCGGCCTTTTAATTGCAGTTGCAAAATTGTTGTGCTGCTTCCTGTTTCTAGGTGGATGTGCATTGTTTGCAGGTGCATTTTAAATGCAGAGTCTAGAAAAGTTAGCCATATGCTGGACCACTAAAGTGAAACCACTGTTGAGGTAGAACACTGCAACTGTTGGGACTCCATACAACTGCACAGCAGCGTAGGGCCAGGTATGAAGACTGCTGTGTCCAGCTGAAAATGTTGAAAGGCAGATCTTTACAAAAGCAGGATTTTGTTAACTGGGAATGTGAAGAACTAGTCGACTATCTGTAAGCAAATGCTCGTCTCGGCATTTCAAAGCAGCAGAACCACATAGAGTCCATGGTCAGCTGGGTACTCCCCAGCTGACTATAGGTTCCGTGCGGTGCTGCCACTTTCAAACACCTGGGAGCCTGGTGTCAGATTCCTCGCAGCAGCGCTGTGTGGAGCCCGGGATCAGCAGGGGACTCCGTGCAGCCCACTGTGTTTCAAAGTGACACTGCCATGTGGAGCTCGCAATCAGCTGGGGATTGGGCTCCATGCAGTGCTTTTGTCTTTGAAACACAGCCGCAGTTTCAAAGCGGCAGTGCCTCACAGAGCCTGGAGTCAGCGAGTCCCCAGCTGACCCTGTGCTCCACACGGCGCTTTCATCTTTGAAGCGTAGAAACAGCTCTAGACCTTCAAAGGCAGAGGCGTCCTGTCGACTAATCAAATAGTCGATGCATTTTGCATCAACTATTCGATTAGTCAGTTACGCAACATTTAACATACTTATTATTAACTACATTGGAACATGGCCAGGACTCTGGGCATAATAAGCATTGTACAGAATACAGAATCCTGAGAACGTCTAAGCCACTATTCCTACAAACAAACCTGTTGGCATGGCCTATGTTCTCTGGTCCTAGATCCACAGCTTTACACTTGGGCACGTTAAAACTCATATTGTTTGCTTGTGCCCATCCTATGAAGCTGTCCAGATCACTCTGTATCTGTGACCACCTTTATTTACCACTCCCCCAACCTTTGCATCATCTACAGATTTGATCAGCCATGATTTTGTATTTTCTTTCGGGACACTGATTAAAAATATCCCAACTACCCATGCAAAATGATGGAGACAAATTTAGCTATAATCACTCGAGAGATCTTGGAGTCATTGTGGATAGTTCTCTGAAAACATCCACTTAGTGTGCAGCGGCAGGCAAAAAAGCCCATTGAATGTTAGGAATCATTAAAAAAGGGATAGAAAATAAGATCAGGAATATCTTAATATCTCTATATAAAACCATGGTACTCCCACATCTTGAATACTGTGTACAGATGTGGTCTCTTCATCTCAAAAAAGATATATTGGCATTGGAAAAGGTTCAGAAAAGGGCAACAAAAATGATTGGGGGGTTGAAACGGGTCCTATATGAACAGAGATTTGGGACTTTTTAGCTTAGAAGAGAGAGGGGTAAGGGGGGATATGATAGAGTTCTATACAATCATGACAGGTATTGAGAAAGTGAATAAGGAAAAGTTATTTACTTATTCCCACAATATAAGAACTAGGGGTCACCAAATGAAATTAAGAGGTAGCAGGTATAAAACAAACAAAAGGAAGTTTTGCTTCACTCAGTGCACAGTCAACCTGTGGAACTCCTTGCCAGAGGATGTGGTAAAGTCTAGGACTTTAACAGGGTTCCAAAAAGAGCTAGATAGCCACTGATGGACCTAACCTCCATGAATCTATTAGCCAGGATGGGTAGGAATAGTGTCCCTGGCCTCTGTATGTCTGTAAATGAGTAACAGTGTAAATTATGTGAGGATTACCTGTTGTGTTCCCTCCCTCTGGGGCATCTGGCATTGGCCACCATTGGAAGACAGGATACTGGGCTAGCTGTCCTTTGATCTAACTGTGTATGTCTGTTCTTCTTCGAGTGGTTGCTCATGTCCATTCGAAGTAGGTGTGTGCGCCGCGTGCACCACGTCTTCCGGAGCGTTTTCCCTAGCGGTACCCGTAGCGCCGGTGGGGCGCCCCCTGGAGTGGCGCCGCCATGGCGGGGCATAAATACCCCTGCTGGCGCTGCCCCACCTCAGTTCCTTCTTACCGCCGTGTCGGTCGTTGGAGCGTCTCTCTCTCTCTGTCTGTTAGGATTAGATAGTTAATGGTTCCCGTTTCTCACATTGTAAATAGTTTGTGTAGTTAGATAGTTAGGTTTTTTTGTTTTTGCTCCTTCCCCCCTTGGGGGTAAGGAATGCCAGGGCTGCAAGGCTTCAAGGCGTGCGCTGACTGCGGGAAGTTTATGCCCAGGGCGACCCACACGACAGCTGCCTTAAGTGTCTGGGTGAGGCCCATCTGGCAATTGCCTGCAAAATCTGCAAGTCTTTCAAGCCCCGTACGAGGAAAGAAAGAGTTTCCCGCTTGAAGCTTCCCCTGATGGAGACGGCGCTTCAACCGGTACCGCCGGACCAGCCTGCGGTGCACAGCGCACCGGCCTCCATGAACGAGGCCGCACACCGGCACCGGGCATCGACGTC